CCCCCTCCCTCCAGCCCCGCCCAGGGCTCAACCACCGCTTTCGCCACATCGCATCGGTTTTCCTCCACTTTCGAGGAAGACGTCTGTCGTGTAATAAGAGATGAAGGTGGCGGGCTGGGCCCGGCCGGGCCGGTCGCGCGCGCCGGCGACTTTTGGCACGTCAATCATGTTTGAATTAACGTCACATTAGCGCCGGCGGCGAGTGGTTTGAGCAACTCCTCTCTCTCTCTCTCTACTCCCCGCTGCGCCCCCAGGGGCATGTCCCTGGACCGCAGCTTCCTCGCTCCTCCTCAATTCTCACCTCGCCATCCCCCCCTCCCTCACCCCTCTCTCCTCTCTTTCCCTCTCTCCTCTCTTTCCCTCTCTCCTCTCTTTCCCTCTCTTCACTTTTCCTCTCTCCTCTCGTCCTCTCTTCACTCTTCCTCTCTCCTCTCTTCATCTCCTCACTCTTCCTCTCTCCTATCTTCTGTCTCCTCCTTCCCCCACCACCCGCTCCTCTCCTCTCCCGCATACTCTCCCGCTCTCCGCCCGTTCGCTCCCGTCGCGTCCCAGCCCGCTCCGCCGCCGGCTCTTGTGAGTTTTCTTAATCTCTTCCTTGACCGGTCTTTTGTTCCCGAAGCCGCGCGGAGCCGCGCCTCGCGCGCCTGTAACTGGGAGGCGCACACACCGCGGATACGTGGGTATCGCGCGGCCGAACGGTGGGCAGACCCTATGGGCAGGCGGCGGCGTAGGCGGGGAACCTCATAACTCACCCCAAAATCCCCTACACTTACTCCTCTTCCCCTCTCCCTCCTCCCCCCCCCTCTCTCTCTATCACACACATCCGGTTGTAGTCGTTCTCGTGAGTCATTCTCGTTCCCGGTGATGTGATTGACAAGAGTCCGTCGCGTCCTCCGCGCTGCTCTTTGTCCTCGTCCTCTGTATACCTCTCATGCGTTGCCCAGGCGTTTAGGTCTCTATTTTGTTCAGTAATTCATCGGCCCATTTCAGTTCGTGCATGCTTTGTTTTGCATCATTTTAAACGTGATACCGATGTAAAGATGTGTCGCGAATACGTGGCCTCCGGCCGCGACCATAGTCTATAGACTGTGTCCTATAGGAGTCCCGGTTCACACTGCCTCTTTGCTCCTCTGCTGATTCTTTTTCTCTCTGTCTCTCTTGTTATTTCCTTCTATTTTTTTTACGTGCAACGCACACAGCGGTCGCGGCGGCCAGCTCAAAGGGCGCGCGCGGCTTACCGCAACTGAGTCGCCGCTCAAAGTCAAGCTGCACGAGATGAGGCTTTTTAATCCGAAATGAATGGGATGGGAGGAGGCGCCGCTGGGCGTTGTCGGTGGGGCGTGGTTGTGAAAAGGGGGGGGGGGAGTTGCTATCGTACGCGTGTATCCTACGTACTTCCTGCTCTGGAGTTAAAGCTCGTCGGATGTGTCGCGGGCAGTCTTGATCGCGCTGCTCATTGGGAGTCTTTACCCACCGGTCCTGGTCGGGCCTGGCCGGCAGTGGTGCCCAGCTGCCGGCTCGCCAGGGCACGGCTGAGCGGGACCGAGAGCGCCGCTCGCCGTCACCGTTCCGAACCTCTGATTCGTCACGCCGCGCTGCTAGGCCCTTGTGGCCACCGCGCGCCGCCACGCCCCCCGCCGCCATAGAGTAGCGCGCGCCCACACGTCGGATTTATCAAGGAGAGAGAGAGAGAGAGAGAGAGAGAGGGGGGGGGGGGGTGACAGCTGGCTGCTTACATGCTGGTATGCTGGTGAACCTATCGTGAACCTTCGTCCTGCATTGCCTGAGCCGCGGCGTATAGGCGAACGCCACGGGCAGCGGGCTTTCATTACGGTTTGGAAAAACCTTGGCGACTTTATGGAAGAAATTGCATAAGAGACGTCATGGTTTTTCCAAACGTTATGAAAACCAGGATGTCGTTTTTACCGTGCGCATCCACAATATCACCCATTCGCTGGACCAA